GCACATAAAATAAAACAATAATTAAAATATTTTAAAAAGAAATCTAGTTGAAAATGGAGTATCAATGTAAATTAAGAACTTACAATTACAAAGAAGGACATTTCATTCCTTTTCAATTTCGTACTCCATTTCTGTCTCTCTGTACTATGGAGTGGGTGTTAAACTTAGGAGGTTTGCATGTAAACTACTTTTAAAACAGCTGCAATATAAAATGAGTGACATCAATTTCATTATCTTTTGCTATGTATAAATGATTTACTTCTTTATTAACTTTTCCAAAAGGTAAATGCTTCCAAGTGTGCTAGTATTCTTTTGGTTTATTTTTCTTTTTAAAAAATAGCATAGGAACTGGAGAGGTGACTCAGTGGTTTGGTTTCCAGCACCCATATGGTGGCTAACAACTGTCTGTAACTATAATTCTAGGGGATCCAAAACCCTCTTCTGGCCACCGTGGGCACTGCATGACATAGGTGCACTTTCACACAAGCAGACAATACACTCATACACATAAAAATAAAAGTAACAAAGAAACACAGATTAGACCTTAATTTTAGCATAGTAGCAACATGTATTTATAATGCAACAAGATAAATGAATATATCTAGCTTTATTATAAATTCATGCTAAATATTATATAATTAATTGAGTTATAATATTTATAATATAAAAATATGAAGAAACTCAAATAACTTTTTAATTAGAAAGTAAGGTAAATAACAACCACATACATGGCATATATTTGTTAATTTTGGTACATATTTATTATGTGGTATCAGAATATTCTTTCATTTTCATTCACAGTTTTAGACTTTGCTCTAAATGATTCTGAAATCTGATGCACACATATACCACAAACTCAAATATATGTTGAGACGCCACAGAGTATTTTTTCTATTTTGCATCTATTATTTTACAATTGAAACATTAAAGCCCTAAGATGACAGATTGAAATGATATTATCAGGTCAGTACCTGAAAAGAATAGAGCAGTCCACAAAATCTACCTAAGTGTCCAAACACCCAGTGACTGTCTTTTTCAGAATTCCAGGCCCTAGGCCCCTGCATTGCACTGTGGGGATCTTTGATTTGCTTTAACTTCCTTTAGTTTATTCAATTAGATCTCACTCCCGGCAGTATTTTTATTCATTTGTCTGCTTTGTATTGTTTTTAAATGTGGGCTGCTTTTCTGAAAGGGAGTCAGTCCAGTGGATCAATTTTGGGAGCTCACAATCTAAAATCATTTGAGCACCACAGATCTACAGATCCCTGGGAACCATTCATTTTCACAGTGAATAACATCCGCCCAGTCAGCTGTGGTTCTCAAACTACCTGGCTGCACTTCCCAGGGAAACCTACCAACTGCTCCCATTCTCCCTTTTCCCACAAAGCACACACAGCTCCTGTGGCTCTGCACAGTTTACCCTCACTAATGTGTATCCTGGGCTTTTCCAGGATGTGTTTTCAGTTCATTTTGTTGGCTTATTTTTCTTTCAGCTTGACTGCTGATGAACTGTTCTCACAGTTTTGATTTGAGGACTTGGGAAAACCCAGAGTTATTCGGCTTCTATTGTGACAATCTCTTTAGAATTTCTGTGTCATTGTTTTTAATGCATTTTGATTTACAATTTATAATTGCACATTTGGCTCAGGTGTATAAAGTTGAATAGTTAATGGTCTTGGTATGAAGGTATACAACAATTTCTTTAAACCCGTTTCCATTATCTGTCACTCCCCAAACCCCATTCCCTCAGTCCCAGGTCTCTACTAATTTGATTTCAGTATTCACACATTTCCCTAATCTGTGCATTTCATATATGTGCTATCACACAATTTCAGTTTTGTTTTTAGTGACTGATATTAGGTGATAGAAGTAGACAGTGAGTCATTTTAAAGTTCATTTCAGCCACAGAATAGCACTTTCATAATCAATTTACTGTGCCCTGCTTACTTACTTTCATATGATTTCATGCTGCTTTCCTAACACAGAATAATGCAGCAGAATTTGAGAGTCTGAGGTTGCAACAACAGTGGTGGGAACTGACAGCAAAATTAGCACAATAATTGATTATGCGTAAAGCCCATCATCCCAAGAACTTCACATGCTTCCACATAATTAATTTTCACAAAAACTTATGACAGAAGTAGTACATTATCAGTTCAGTTTTGCTGATGTGGAAACTGAGGCAATGTGCAATGATAAAATGTCTCCAAGTCCCCAAGCTCCTGCACCGCCATATTCAGCACCCAGTAGTGTAACTGGACGCTCCTGGTTACCACCGAGCTCATAGGCCACAGTGACTTCTAGGTATGTGTCAGGCACCTTTTCCTTTTACTGCACTGACAGTATCAGAAAACAGCTTAGGGCAATATCCTCTGTGCACCTTCTCATTGCTATACATTGTTAACATGTTACACAGCACTGGTGTGTTATTGGCATGCAACTTTTTAAAAAGGAGGATTTACATAATCATTTTATGGTTCCATCCAAGACTTCTAAACTTTCTCTTAATGCTGTTTGAATGCTTTGTCTATATTAACTAAAATAATTTGAAATTTATTGTCACTTTTTGTAAACTAAGCTATTTAAAACCTATGACCATTTTTTTTCTAAAATGTATCCATTTAATATGCAATTCATCAAATTTAGTTTCATTTGACAATCAAACACTTCTATCTTTGAAGAAGACATAAAATTACAGACTTAAATGTACTTTATTACTGAGTATAAGATATCAAGTATCAACTCATGAGCTGAGTATTAGATTGATTTGAATGAAATTAGTTATGATTATTAAATAGTAGAAAGGTAACTACATTTAACTCTTCATATTGTATGTGCATACGCTGAAAGAACTTTCTATAGTAGGTTTCTATGACTCTTCAAAAGGCCTTTAGTGTTAGTTATTTCTCCTCTTACTCCACCTTCTGCCCTACTTGCAAATTTCCTCCCAACCTGACCCTAATGGACAGCACAGGCTAGCAAATAAAAAGCCCAGGCCAAGAATGGACTCTTCCTTTGGAGCTGTCTATAAGAGACATCCCATAGATCCTCAAACAGTACTGACCCCTGCCATTGCATTAGGCTACCCAACAGTACTGGACTGCAATCCCTATTGCTGCAGGCACTGCATACCTAGTCACAAAACAAATGGAGAGAAATCAAGTTGGTACTGACCTTGAAGCTACATCTATGCTAGCTAACTTTCACATACTAGAAGTGCTATGCACGTTACTGACAGAGTGATCGACCTTACCCAGCTGTCAACTCCGAGAGCTACAATAACAACTGGCCTGGCAAAAATATGCCCGCCAGTGCATTAGTGGCATGAATACTATCAGAGTAACCAACCACCTTCTAATTGGATTTAAGGCCCACTTTACAATATGGAGCCCATACCTAACACTGTTATCAGGGCCAAGAACCCATGGCTACACAGGTCACAGGAACGGGGGACAACCTACTATCATTTTGCTAAATAGACACTCTATTAAACTGACTCATAATGGCTTATTGTAATACAGATTGGTGCATGTCTCAAGTCCCATCAGAGATGCTGATTCTTATAGCAGATGGCACTTACAGTGACCCACAACCAATCAACATGCAGAGACTAAGAGACTATGGGTGCTCAGCCCTAAATTCGACACTGATATATACCTTCTCTTCCCAGGGATCATTGCAGATGAGGGGGTGGGAAGACTGAGAGAGCTACAGGTGGTATGTGAACACAAGAAAGCTGTTTTCTGGATACCCCAGGATAGGTGTACACATGAACTTGTAACACTTATGACACCATGCACAAGACCTGTGCAATCCCATGTCAGACAGAAACTCAGCATGGATGGGGAAGGTGAGCATAAAGCCCAAGCCCAGCTGAAGTTCTTTTGGTGCTTGGTAGACACTTCTAGAGAGAGAGTCAGTTTTACTGACTGGTGTGTTGTCTAGCAGGTTGACTAGTCCCCAAGGGATAGACCCCCCACCACCAACAACGGCACTTGGGAAACAAAATAGATTCTACAGGCCTCTTAAAAAATTAAAAAAAAAATAAAGCACATGAAGTCAGGGATGGGTAGTAAGGTGGGGTTGGAGATGGAGGAAGGAGTTGGAATATGATCAAAATACATTGTAGGAAATTCTCAAATTAATAATAATATCAAAATTATTCTCAAAGATTCCTGAAGTGGGAATTCTAAAACAGCATAGATTTCTTCATGTGTGAAATGCTCTGGAGCTCAGAAGAGGGCATTGGATCCCCTGGAACTGGAGTGAGAGAAGGATGTTAGCCACCATGTGGGTGCTGGGACCTGAACCTGAGTCCTTTGCAAGAGCAAAAGTGCTCTTAAGTGCTGAGCCATCTCTTCACTCCCAAGAGGATGGGATTCCTTGTTTATCTGCATGATGGTCCTGGACTTCCCAGCCTCTAGAATAGTGAGCAGTGAGTTTCTGTTGTTTCTTAGATACTCAGTTTATGGTGTCTTGTTACAGCAACCCAACTGTCTTATGATAGATTATATCACTTTTTATTTGTTTGTAATTTTGGAGAATTTCATAATGAGCATTATATTTGTATCATTTCTGTCCCTCCCAGTCCCTCAAACTCCTCCCATGTCCCTTCTATTCCCTCTCAATTCTTGTCATCTTTTTTATTATTGCTATAAATATGCATATATATAGGTATATGTATATAATGCACTGAGGCCACTTGGGGCTGCTCATTTGTACAAGTGTTTAGGGCTGACCACTTGGGATTAGATAACATGTCAGGGAGTTTATTCCTAGAGAAAACTCATTCTCCCTCCCACACATCCACTGTCGATGTAGCTCTTCATTATAGATAATATCTCTTAATTTAAAGTTTACAATTATGAAACTGTTCTTTTCAATTGATTTGTGTGTGCACAGACATACATCAGAACATTTTATACATGTGTAGCAAAGATGAAAATGTCCACATTATATATAAATGTGTTTTCAAATGGAAAGGTTTCTGGGAAACTCACCGGTTGTACAGTTTTTAAATTCTACATCATCAATTGCAGCTCCTCCTCCTAAGTCCCTTGTTCTGATGCCTTGAAAGATGACTTCAAACTTCCTTCGCTTTCCCAGCAGGATGACAGCCTTTTGCCAGTGGTTACCAGGGTTTGGCTTACGCGCTTGCCATACTTCTGATAGTTCTTTTTCTGTCTGAAATTAAAGAGTTTGCATCAGTGGAGTAAGTGAAACAATAATAAGAAACAATATGTAGCAGAGAAGCTCTTAGCCAGTGAAAATTCCATAAGAATGAAAAGGATTGGACTTTGATCACATCCGTGCTAGACTTTATTTCACCAAAACAGAGGCAAAACTAATCTACCTACGTATTTCATCAAAGCAATACTGGTGGAATTTGCAATGATCCCGTTTTGGTATTTTCGGAGGTATTAGTATAGTGTCCTCATTGGCTAAATCTACCTATTCTCTCACGAAATTCTTACAATTGAATAGAATCTGAGAAAGTTCTAGAAGCACCAAGTTTTTAGTTTGGGATGCTCCTTTCTTCCTTTATCAGTACAATCTCTAATTATTCACACTGCACATTCCTTCAAAGAGTTTAAATAACTGACAGAAAGAGGAAAGAGAAGAAAATGCAAGGGACTGAGCTTTACAGAGAAGGAAAGTTAGATTCCCCAAATCAGATCCTAGGACAGAATTGAAATATTTTCATTTTCAAAACTATAATTATCTGAACACCAGCAATAAGAGTTTTTGGATACAATTCTGCAATTAAAAAGTAGAAGTCAGGGCTGGAGAGATGGCTCAGCAGCTAAGAGTACCAGCTGCTCTCCCAAAGGACCAGGATTCGATTTCAGCACCAACATGGCAGCTAACAACCACCTGAAACTCAAGTTCTAGGGGGATCTGATGCCTTTTTTGGCCTTTGTGGATTTGCATACATGTGGTACACCTACATCCATACATGAAGACAAAACATTATTGATATACATAACATTAAAATAAATAAACTGAAAGAGAGAAACTAAAAGCTAATTTTTTTAACACAACATATTCAACTATCTCCTCTAAATAAGCAAAGAATCAGTAACAAGCAATATTGTGTGGTATGCATGAATGCTCCTAGTGTTGTGACATGACATGGCATGACAGATAATATAATCCAGTGACCAAAGAAAAATGATACTAATATTAAACTCACAGATTAGCCAAACAAAAATCAAAGGACTTTGCAGATATATATTATTTTGTACAGCTTTCATTCTATAGCTCTTTCTGGGAACTGTCTGGAACCACTTGGCAGATCTGCCAACCAATAAGTCTGTGGGGGATAATCTTGATATTGTGTTAACTGAGGCTGGAAGACTTCCCCGCTGGGAGTGGCACCAATCCCTGGCTGGGGATCTGGGTGTATAGATGGAGTGAAGGAGCTGGGCAGCAGCATCCTTCATCACTCTTTGCTTCCTGATTGTGGATGTGATACAACCAGATGCCACCAGGTACCTCAAGCCCCTGCTGCCTTGGCTTTCTCTCCAGGATGCACTATACCCTTGAACTGTGTGCCAGAATAAACCTAAGTGGCTTTTTTCTTCTTAAGTGGCTTCTGTCAGGGTATTTTATCACAGCAACAGAAGAGAAACTAGGGTAGGATGACTTAACAAACCATAGATATTTAGCAAAGGAAAAATATTAATATCTCATTATATTTATACTTAGCACCCAAATGATTTGTATTTCTTATTGCTCTTTCATCGTGTTTCCATGATTAATGCACAAAGAAAATTTGGTGTCTGAAGGTTTCTATCAGATACTGGAGCAGAGGACAGAATTCCATAGAATGGCATCCAGAAAATCCTACAAGCTGTTCCTGTAAGTTTATAATGCACAGTTTGAAATACATGACTTATTTGTATTTTAAGAGTAAAGGGTAATTTAAAAGAGATATATCTGAATAAAGGATGCAGAGGAGTCATACATTTATAGTTGCGTGCTCTGGAGAATTAAGGTTGATGAATATGACTACCGCCTTGTTCTGCAGAGGCAGAAATAGACTTGAGCAAATGGTTTTCTTTTTTTCTTTCCTTTTCTTTTTTTTTTTTAAATCTGGGGCAACAGATAGAAGATGGATCCATGCATCAATTAATTTTGTAAAACAACTAGAAACTTACATATAAAGCTTTTGACACCCTTTACTAGAAAACACATATTTGCCTTCAGAGGCTCATGTAACTTTCACATTGAAGGGGATGAGAAATTCACACCTAATTAATGGGATCTCATCGTTCTGTTAACTAAAGAGAAGTCCTTTACCAGGTTATTCTTTGACTGTCATTGTTTTAGTGATTGGGAATCAAAGGGATGAGACGTTAAATCAAAGATGAAATAGGATAATCTGACACTTAAAGCTATCAGAGCTATGGATGTGGATGGGAGCTTGTCTGAATTCTTAAATGTACAACTGTCTGCAGGCATGCACTTCTGTAGCTCATAGAACCCCTCATGAGCTACACTAGGTATGAAATGAATTTTCAACCAATAACATTAAAAAACATGTGATCCCTTTAATCAATAAAATATGAATCATTTTTTTAAATCTTGGAAAGGGGCTTCTAGTAAGAACAAAAGGAAAGAGGCTGAAAAAGACTTGAATCAGGTGTTCATTAATGTCTACGTGGCAAGATGAGCTAAATATGTTGAAAACCTTCCACAATGGCCCACGACACAGCACCAGTCTAACATACTCAAACATATTACATATTCTAACGTATGCACAACTTACATATACCATCAATTCTTTTCTCCAGGAACTAGTTTCCTGAGAGATTATCTATCCCAAGTGGGCAGTCCTAGACACATGAACACCTCTAAATGGACTCAGTGCATTATACATCTGTGTATATGTGTACATTTATAAATGTATATATGTATATATAGCAATAACAGTTGAAGAAAAAGACAAGAAACTGAGAAGGAGTTGGGGGAGTGGGGGGAGTTGGAGGGGGACCGGGAGGGATGGAAATAATGCAAATACAAGACTCATTTATGAAATTCTCAAAAATAGAAAGTAAAAAGAATAAATTACTATAATTTCTTCCACTCCACACACACACACACACACACACATGCATACACACCAACAAAATTTTAAAACATAATGCACACACACACACGCACAAATTTTTAACATGTGGGTATGTAATCGATTCTAACTTTTGTTGATTTAATTATTTACTTGATGTCTTGATTTCTATTCTTTGTGAATGGAGGATAAACATCATTCCTATCCCCCAATGACTTTGCAGCTGTCTACTGATTTAGTTCTTGCATTCGTGTGGATTTTTAACTGAAGATCTCAAGGAAATAATCACAGAAAAGTAAATATATATATTTTACAATAAGTGGTTACATTGCAGAAATAGAAGAAATGTTGTCTTTAAGCGTTTTTCCTATTATAAATTGATTTATTCTCTTCTGTATTTCACATATGCCCTTGTAATGCATTTGACTTCATACTTCATTCGAAGTTTCCTTTTCTGGTCAAGTAAAGACAGATCATGAGACATTCCAAGAAGATAGTACTACTTCACTGTTTTGAGACATATTAGTAGACAGATTCACCTGGAAGCTCAGTCTCATATGTTTGAGGTAAATATGCAGAGTTTCAACAGGTAATTGCCCAATTTTCCCAAACCAACTGAGAAATACTTGTCTTCATTGACCTCTTTATCATACTTGAAATGTTCCTAGAGATTCCACGTCAGTCTTGTTTATTGATCCATCAAATGCCATTTCTATTAATTCACTATAAACTTTTTCTTCTGGAAATATTTATCTATGTATTTTCCATATTCCTTCTAAGAACAACTAAATTGCCTGGAAAATATATAAATTATATACAATATAAGAAGACTAAAAAGTGGAGCGACAGTAGATGATAGAGTAGCTTGGAACCACAGGCCTCAAAGACCCAACACGTGGTAGGTTAGTAAAGTTTTCCTTCACCACCATTAATCCCAAATTAAATATAAAAGTTTAATAACCTGGAGAGTCCAACAGACCCAGATTGCCGTTTCTAGTCAAAAGATTTGGAAAGGGTAGTTTTAGCAGGAAGGATACTGCTTAGACTATAATTATCCCACCAAAGCCAAGTGCTTCTGAAAAGCCAGTCTGAACTCCCCTTCCAGGCTAAGCAAAGAGCCTACACTTCCATTACACCAGATCAGGACAAGGTCCCCTCAAGACCTTAAATGCAGGAAAACTAAGAATTTGTCGTATTACTGGGTCTTGTCATGTTGAGGTATTTGCATTCCTTTATGGAACAGAACTCTGTCCATAGCAAATTAGTTATTTTTTGTTCCCATTTATAAATGTTTTTGGTGCTGGGTATTGAACATGGAACCTTGCCTGTGTTAAGCACATACTCCTTCACTGACTTATGTCCCTGACCCATAAAATACTTATAATGCGTAAAAGAGCATTACTCTGTCTCTCAAGCACTCTCAAATGTAAATGCGATGACACTGGAAAATATTAATAGTAAGGATGTCAGTGACAGCCACTGGTTTCAGGATTTAGAAAGAGAACTCAACAGGGAAGTTACAGGAATACTTTTAAGAGAGAAAAAATGTCTATAAATGTATAATTCTAAGTGCATTTGGTAAATACAGGAGGACACTAGGAATTTATGAAAAGCCAGGTAATGATACAGTGCAGAGTAACCTTAATGTATAGCATTAGAAGAACACTGAGGAGGTTTAACAGTCGAAAATTAATGTGCAATCTGACAAATCAATCTAAATGTATGGGAAATGTGTGAGGCAGCCTCACTGATGTCATAAATTTGGAAATGAATGGAACTTGTAGGAAAAAGGAAAAGAGCTGCAAACAAGCATGGTACTCTGGCTAATAAAGTTTTCCACAGAGGTACAGGGTAAATGAAAACACAGCTGAAGAAGGCAGGAGGCAGGCTTCCTGCTGTTTGAATGAACGATTACAAATAAGCCAATGGAAAAGGTCCGCGTGCTCTGCAATGGTAATGGGCCAAAGTCGGAGATACTGTGAACTTATACTTAAATCAGTATAAGCAGTCACACACACACATATGCAGGGAATTTTATATGCATATTACTATCCACACAGCTATGCATATCTTCTATAGTCTACAACTGAGAGGTCATCCAAACAACAGGTGC